CAAATCTCATGCTCCTGGATAGGTATAAACGACATGCTAAAGTGAAGGCATGTGTAAGTGTTCACAACAATTTCATCAAAGAATAACATTTATCTGTTTGTTCCGGGATTAAGCCCCAATGTATCCACAAACATGGCTCAAATAGTTCAAAACAATGTCACAAATGTGCGAAGCATCGTAGCTTAAGGTTTTAACTGTCAAATTCTAGGCTTATACGAGCCCAAGCACAACTCGAACATGAATAAATAATCGCTGTGCCCACACATGTGCGCACCCAATAGCATGTAGCTATCACAATAATTCAGTCAACTAGTGCCTTAACCGAGTTTAAATAAGATACTTATCTCAAACAAATCAAATCACTCCGCTAGCAAGCCCTTCCCACGCCTATTGACCTCCGGAAGGCTCGAATCTGGTCAAAAATTACGTAATACTATCAATAAAAGCTATAGGAATAGATTCCAAATGATAAAGCTAAGATCTTTAAACAAAGTCAAAATGTCAACCCAAAATTCAATCCCTGGCCCACGTCTCGAAATCCAATAAAAGTTAAAAAATTTGAAAACCCATTCAAGGGGACCATACAAAAATATTCAAATTTGACCTCAAATCGCCTTTCAATCCCAAAAATTAGGTCTATGAAGTTCCACAATTTCCCCCCAAATTTTCTAACTCAAGTCACCAATTAAATGGCAAAAATAACAATGAATTCATGTATAATAGCCAAATCCGAGTTAGAATCACTTACCCCGATGATTTCCTTAAATATCCCTCGAAAGATCGCCACAAATCGAGCTCTCTAGGTCTAAGAGATTAAAAATGAACTTTACTCTCGAACACCCCTTATCTGCCTAGCGATTTTTGCTTCCGCGACCAGGAGGTCCGCTTCTGCGGAAAAAGGAGCACCAGCATATCCCACTCAAGACCAGCCCCTCCGCTTCTGTGGAATTACGCCCGCATCTGCGCACGCATGCCTGGAGAGGAAATATTGCACCTGCGACCATGCCCGCTAATGCGTTTCACTTCATCGCAAAAATGACCTCACTTCTGTGATCCCAGAGTCCCCCACTCACTTTCGCACGTGCGGCGCCGCATCTGCGGCCATTCCCACCGCAGGTGTGAGCACACCAGAACTTGGGCAAATCAGCAACTTCCTTAAGTCCACAATTCATTCCGATTACAATCCGAATCACTCCCGAGGCCTCATCCAAACATACCAACCCATCCTAAAACATCATAAAAACTTAGTCGAGGCCTCAAATCACACAAAACAACATCGAAAACACAAATTGTACCCCAATTCAAGCCTAATGAATTTTCGAATTGCCAACCTCCAAAATCGTTGTCGAAACATACCAAATCAATCCCGATTGACCTCAAATTACAAGTTATAAATGACAAACGGGCCTATTCCAACTTCCAGAACTAAACTCCGAGCCTGGTAACCACAAAGTCAACTCTCGGTCAAACTTCTCAACTCTCCAAACTTCAACGTTTCCAACTTTCGCCAATTCAAGCCAAAATGATCTAAGGACCTCCAAATCAACATCCGGACACACTCTTAAGTCCAAAATTACTATACGGAGGTATCAGAACCATACTTTATTCTGGTGTCATTTACACAATAATCAACATCCGATCAACTCTTCCAACTTAGGCTTCCAACCTTGGGACTAAGTATCCCAACTCATTCCGAAATATCCCCGAAACTAAATCAACCACCCCGGCAAGTCACATATCAACAAATAAACACAAAATAAGCAATAAATGGGGGAACGGGGCTACAATACTCAAAATGACTGGCCGGGTCATTACATTTTGACATTAACAAAATTACTAGACTTGGAATTTAGGATTTTATGTTCAGTACTTTAACTGTGTTTGATTTGTAGTTGTATGCTTACTTGTACATTATGTACTGCTTACTTTAAATGTTATTACTAACATCCCACTATTTGTTACCACTTTATATATATTGTCATCACACTCTTTCTTATTGAGTCATGGTCGTACACTATCACACACCATGGCACGCGAGGGTTATCTTTTACACCTCTCCAAACTGTTTTTCAAATTCTTTAGTTTTAGAGAATGGCTTTGTCAGGTCAAATGACATAACTTCTTGCAGTATTCAATCCAACTAAAAATAAGGAAACACTCTACTCTAGCAAACATAGGTCATATTGCATAAACATTAGGTGGGTCGGTCCTTGGCATCGACACACAATTAGGAAAGCCATCCTAATGTCAATGGGTCATACACCCAACGACATGACTTTTGTGGAAATACGAACTAATCATGATGAGACACTTAAGATCTGAAGCAAACACTTATCAAAGCCTTTTTCTCTACCCTCTTCAGAAATGGAAATCAACCAAAACATCCCTGAGATCAATATGGCGATGGGAGCACCGCACAAGCTAAAGCAATAGTAGAAGAACATTCGACGAGAGCATGGAGACGAAATGAGGGCACACCTAGGAGCATTTACTGCCTTGCTAAATATCCGAGCTGACAAGGTGCTTACCACCTTACTGATAGAGTTCTGGGATCTAGCCAAAGTAGTTTTCAAGTTTGCTGATTGTGAGTTGGTGTCAACGTTGGAAGAAGTTACTAGTTTCACAAAGCTGCCATTTATGGGAAAGAGACTTGTACTACCAGTCACCATGCCCAGGTATAGGTTTCTTGATGCTTTGGGTCTAGCAAACAGTCAGGGTTTGAGAAACATTGAAGATTGATGGGTAAACATAGACCAATTGTTCTATAGGTTTAGACATCGTGAGAGCTATGAATGGTACTTGGGAGAATTTCAGTGTGATTAGGCAACTTGGAAAAGTCTCCTACCCATAACCTTCTCTTTAGCGCTGTTGGTACTACTGGTTTTACCGCAAAGAAGAGGCCGGATCAATATCAGTTTACTACCTATGGTTTTGGCAACATTCCGGGGCAATCTCCAAGCCACTCTGGTACCTATGGTGTTAGCAGAAATGCTTAGAGCATAGTCGACATGTTCCCGAGGCTATGATTTCTTCAAGGGCTACAACCTGTTGCTTCAAATATGGGCCACATAGCACTTCTTTCAGTGAGTGGCCACAATTGACTACTTTGTGGACGTTAGCAACATGATTCGAAGTCACAGCGAGAGAATAAGGCATTGGGTCTTCCCGCATGGACAAGAAAAATGTAGAGGGATGTTGACCAACTTAAGCAGAGAATGGATCCATTGGAAGCTGTCATGGTTGGGCAGAAGGGAAATCCTAAGGACTCCCTAGAAGTATTTTATCGAGCTGATAGGACTTGAGGGCATCCAGCCATACTCACCCCTACGAGTTCTCAGACAGTTTAGGTTGAGTCAGGATGTACCTCTCTGGACGAGGACGACACTGTACGAAGATGAATACAATGGGAAGATCTCGATACCAAGGATAAGGAAGCTTCAGGGGGAGTGGAATGATCTAGTCACAATGCCAATGTGTCAAGATTTGTGGTGTACTCCGAAATACTATGTCTGGATCAATGAAGAGGATACGCTAGACCAACCAAGAAGGGAAGGCATAGCCTGATTGGAGGACGCATTGGCGGCTTTGTAGATCTATCATGAGATCTTGCCACACTACCTCGTTACTACCTCCATGAATCGCCAAGTGGTCCCGAGGTCAATTGATCACATGTTGCCACCTCCCGAGGATGATGACTGAGTAGTTGAATGAATACAGATTGAATCTGAGATAGAACCATAGGAAGACCTAGAGGAAGATCCCGAGTTCAATGATGATGGAGAAAAATTTCAAGAAGACGCGGAGGAAGAATCAGAAGAAGAAGAAGATGAAGAAGAGAGAGGGAATGATTCCGGGGATGGTTATTAGAAGTCGGTTGATTCCACCCCTTTTTCCCACTTGGTATCTTTATCCCGAACCTTCTCATTTCCCTAAGGGCAAGTTTATTTGAGCCCATGTAATCCTATGAATGTTGGAAATAATGATGTAACCTTTGCTCCCGCCTATTACAATCCAAATACTATCAATGAAAACAAAATTTGCTTAAGATATGAATTTGTCAAACTAATTGTTTGTTAAATATTCGCGACTTAGGCCCACCTCCAGCAAAGAGAGGTCCCTCAAACTTTATGAAACGCGATTTCCTGAATATGTGAACTAACTACTCTGTGTGCCTATTACTTGTGCAAATACTGAAACTGACTTCTGTTCTTTTTCTTTTCTTTTCTTTTCTTGTATTACTTTATTATTATTCCCCAAAAGAAAGTTGGTTTGTATTCACCCAAAACTGCCAGAACCACTGTACAACTTGAGAGTGAAAAGGAAGATGTCTGCGACAGATAACCCGACTGAACACGCTCTCGTAATACCTTATAGCCCGATGCGATCGGGAGAGAAGGATGATACGCAGAATGACGAACATGTGGCCAGGAAGGCCCAAGAGATGGAATCATTATGGGAGGAAGTATAACACATTCGGGAATTGGCACATCTGGCCATGACGATGCTCTTACAATCACCTCATTTTCCTTCTCTAGATTCGATCCCCGACCACTTTTCTTCCACTACTCACCAAGCAAACAATACCCCGACTTCAGTCCCTACCACCCAGATTATACCCCCTGTAACCCCTGCAAATCCACCAAACCCTCCCATACACACCCCTTACATACCAAATTACATTCAAATACCTCAAAACCCACCAATTTCTACCAACAAAGTTCATATCCCTCCTCGTGATGACGTCACCTTTACCACCAGCCAAAACCAACACATACCGTTGTACATGAGCGATATGTTCCTCTCGTATATGCCGTTTTAAAAACCACCTTCACAGCGCCCGTCACGGTCAGGCTGCCTAGTAAAGTTGATCAATATGCCGAAATGGAAAAGAAATCTAAGTATAAGGAGGAAGAATCGGTGTCCGAACAATTATGAGCATTGTGAAACAAATGAAGAACCTTTAGGTCACTCGAGGGAGAGAAAATCTAGATTATAAGGATATGTGTATCCACCCTGATGTGGACATGCCGATAGGGTACAAGCCTCCGAAGTTTGATATCTTTGATGGGACAGGTGATCCCCATGCACACTTGAGAACCTACCGAAATAAGCTAGTTGGAGTGGGAAGAAATGAGATGTTGAGGATTAAGCTGTTCATAAGGATTTTGACAGGGGTGTCACTTACTTGGTACACTTGCCAAAATCCCCAAAACTGGAGGGAGTGGCAGGATATGGTAGAAGATTTCATTAATCACTTTTGGTTCAGCAAAAAAATTACCTCTGATAGGTTAGCTCTAGTAAACTTGCAGAAGAAGTCGTCCAAATCATTCCAAGAGTATGCACGTCGATGGAGGTCAGAGGCCGCCAGAGCACAACCCCCGTTAGATGACAGTGAGTTAACTAAGTATTTCATCAGGGCTCAGGAAGGGATCTACTGTGAGAAAATGATGGGCATGATGGGACAGAAGTTCCCTGAACTTGTTAAAATGGGAGACTTTTTAGAGGAAGGTATAAAGTCCGGCAAGGTACAATCTATGGCCACATCGCAAGCAGCTAGCAAAGCAATCCAATCCGGTTCAATAGGCAGTGGAAAAAATAAAAAGGTAGAGGTATCAGCAATCATTACCTACTACCAGTCCAATCCATACCATGGAAACACCTCTTACACTCCAAACACCCATTCCTCACACCTACCTACTTATGCTCCAGTATACAACACACAACCATACTACAATCCCCAACCTCAATATAACCCACCACGCGCCCATACAAATCCAAACCCACCATGATCATACGCTCCAGTCCAAACTACCACTCATCAAAACTGACCAACCTATGCACCTCGACCTCACCCAAATCTTGAAGAAAGAGGTCCCAGAAACTACACCTCGATTGCTGAACCTTTGGCTCAACTCTTTGAAAGACTGAGGAGAGCAGGCTTGATACATCCAATAGAAGGAAGGGTTCTTGAGTATCCTTCAAAATACTTTGATGCAACCAAACAGTGAGTCTACCACTCAAACGTATCGCGGCATGATACCGAGGATTACTTCAAACTGAAAAATGAAATTGAGTTAATGATCAAATGTGGAGCCATTCAATGCACCCTAGCTCCGCCCAATGCAAACCGCAACCCGATGCCAAACCACCCAAATCAAGGAGCTAATATGATCACCCTGGATGAAGAATATGACCTGAAAGGAACCATCATCACAATAGAAAACGCTGAGGCTTCAAGAGTCCCACCTCGAAGAACTCCAATGATCACCGTATAGTTGAAACCTACAGTGATGGTCCAGACCTACCAGTAACAGTCCATCGCTCCCATCAGGGATGAAGAGGATCGGGAATATAAGATAGTCCCGTGGACATATCAGTAGAAAGGGAAAGCTAAGATGATGGATTTCACAGCGGCTTATGGAGTGACCGGGTTAGGGAGGTGTTACGCTCCTAAGGATGTAAAATGAGGGAATTCAGGAAGGGAACAGATTCAAAGAAGGAATATAACAGATCTGGAAGCCGCTGAATTTTGGAAGAAAAGAATACTCCGTGGAGGAACAATTAAAGAAAACCCCGACGCAAATATCAATCATGGATCTACTAATGAGTTTTGATAGTCACAAAGACGCCCTGATGAAATTGTTAAGTTGGGTGAGTGTGCCGAGAAAAACTATAAGTGAGGCACTGGTAGCAACCATCGAAAAGATGGTCGAAGCAAATATGATCACTTTCCGAAAAGATGAACTTCCTATGGAGGGTGTGGGTCATAACAAAGCTTTACACATCACCGTCAATTGTGGAGATAAGGTGGTGTCCCAAGTACTTGTTAATGAAGGATCAAGAGTCAATATCTGCCCGCTCTCTACTCCACAAGAGTTGGGTATCCATCTAAGAGAAGTAAATGAAAGTCATGTGAGGGTGCAAGCTTTCGACGGGTCACAGAAGGACGTCATTGGAGAAATCTATTTGGCTCTGCAAATTGGACCAGTTGAGTTTCCCATACTATTTGAAGTGATGGATATTTCATCTTCATACAACCTGTTACTAGGAAGACCTTGGATACACATGGTAGGGGCAGTCCTGTCTACCCTATACCAGTGCATGAAGTTTGAGTGGGGTTGCTAAGAGATTGTAATCCATAGCGAATTGAGCCAATCAGCTTATCTGGAACATGCAGTTTCGTTCATAGAATGATTAGACGGGGTCTCTTTCCATGCAGTCGAGATCATGCAAACCACGAAAATATAAAAGACCGAGCAAAATTTGGGAATGCAATCACCATACAGATAAAAGATGGCCATGCGATAAATTATGAAGTATGGATATATACCAGGAACCGGCCTGGGAGCCCGATCAAATGGGATAACAGAGCCGATTGAGCCGAGTGGGCAGAAAGGTAGAGCCGACATAGGGTATCCACCTCCGACTAGGAAGAATTGTGCCGGTAGCTTTGGGAAGAAAACTTTTATGCCAGAGTGTGTTTCGGGTATAGGTCAGAGCTCAACACCAGAGGACAACATCATCAATGGAATGGGAAGGCTGTTCGTGAACATGATCGAGGAATGTTGTGAAAAAGTTAATATCAATACATCGACCATCCGAAATGCCGAACCAGGAGAAGACTTGTAGAATTGGTTCGCCAGGAGTCTTGTAGTCAAAATGATAAAAACCCGCGTTCCGCGATTATGACATATAATGAAACCCTCGAGTAAAGCGATCTAGATTACGAGGGATACGATGAAAGCATGATGTCAGATAATCTCCCACAAGAGATCGAATAGCTGGAAAGCTAGTAAAAGCCTAACCTTGAGGAGACATAACTGGTCAACTTAGGAAACAAAGAAGATGTGAAAGAAACCTGAATCAACATCCATCTGGAAGCAGAGCAGAAAGAGGAATTAGTCGAGCTCCTCCAAAAGTACATCGACATGTTCGCATGGTCGTATGACGACATGCCTAGATTAAGCACTGACATCGTTTCGCATCGATTGCCTAATGATTCTGCTAGACCGCCAGTCAAACAAAAATCTAGAAATTTCAAACCAGACTTGAGTTTGAGGATAAAAGAATAAGTAACCAAGCAAATAGAGGCGAACCTAGTGAGGGTCACCAATTATCCCACATGGTTGGCAAATATCATTCCGGTACCAAAGAAGGGTAGGAAGATCAGGATATGTATGGATTATCGAGATCTTAACAAGGACAACCCGAAGGACGATTTTCCTTTATCAAATATTCATATCCTCATCGACAACTATGCAAAGTATGAGCTACAGTCATTTGTGGATTGTTTCGCCGAGTACCATCAGATCCTGATGCATGAAGAAGATGCAAAAAAGATAGCATTCACTATGCCTTGGAGAGTTTACTGCTACAGAGTCATGCCGTTTAGCCTCAAAAATGCTGGTGCTACTTACATGGGGTCCATGACAACCCTCTTTCATGACATGATTCACAAAAAAATTGAGGTATATGTAGATAACGTCATCATCAAGTCTCGAAAGAGTTCAGAACATTTGGACGACCTGAAGAAGTTTTTCGAACGCTTGCGGAGGTATAGTTTAAAGTTAAACCCTACAAAATGCACATTTGGAGTCCCTACTGGGAAATTGCTAGGTTTCATTGTAAGCAGGAAAGGGATAGAATTAGATCCTTCAAAGATCAAAGCCATTTAAGAGTTGCCACCGCCCAAGAGTAAGAAGGATGTGATGTGTTTCCTTGGAAGGCTGAATTACATCAGCCATTTCATAGCCCAGTCCATAGTAATTTGTGAACCTATTTTCAAGTTGCTGAAGAAGGATGCTACTACAAAATGGACATAAGAGTGTCAGAAAGCCTTTAACAAGATTAAGGAGTAATTTTCAAATCTACTAGTGTTGGTTCCTCCCGAGACCGGGAAGCCACTGTTGTTATACCTGTTGGTCTTGGACAATGAATTTGGATGCATGTTGGGATAACACGATGAGACCAGAAGGAAAGAGCAGGCTATCTATTACTTAAGCAAGAAGTGAGGCCAAATACACTATGATAGAGCGCACTTGCTGCGACTTGACGTGGATCGCCCAAAAATTAAGGCAGTACATGTCAACATGCACTGCGCATCTAATATCCTGGCTCGACCCGCTCAAGTACATCTTCCAGAAGCCAATGCCTACAAGAAAATTGGACAAATGGCAGATTCTCCTCATCGAATTTGATATTTTGTACATAACACAGGTGGCCATCAAAGGACTAGCCTTAGCTGATCACCTTGTAGAGAATCCAATGGACAAGGGTTATGATCCGCTCACTACATACTTCCCAGATGAAGAAGTGTTGTTCGCCGGAGAAAATATTGTAAAATCATACCTAGGGTGCAGAATGTTCTTCGATGGAGTAGAGGATTTCAAAGGAGTAGGAATTGGGGTAGTCTTAATTTCATAATCAAGACATCATTACCCGGCATCAGCAAAGATAAAGTTCCCTTGCACCAATAATATGGCCGAGTACGAAGCATGCATCCTCAGGATTAGGATAGCGGTTGACATGAACATCAAGGAGCTTTTGGTCATAGGGGATTCTGATATGTTGATATATCAAGTTCAAGGAGAATGGACTACTAAGAACATCAAGATCCTCCCATACCTGCACTATGTAAACGAGCTATGCAAAAAGTTCAAGAAGATCTAGTTCAAGCACATTCCCAGGATCTACAAAGAGTTTGCCGACGCTCTTGCAACCTTTTCATCCATGATTCAGCATCCAGATAGGAATTACATCGACCCTATTGAGATAGAGATCTGTAACGACTCGACTAGTTATTTTGAGAATTAGCGTCTCATTCGGTGGCTTGATGTCTCGAGTAGATTCGTGTTATATATTATGACTAACGTGTGTGGCAGAGTTCGATTTTCGGATGATTCGAGATCGATTTGGAAAAAGGGTTCTTGTTTTAGAAGCTGAAGTGGTAAGAGTTTACCGGAGTTTGGCTTTTGTGTAGATGACTTTGGAATGGTGTTTTGATGATTCCAATAACTTCATATGGTGATTTTGGACCTAGGCGCATGTCCGGAGTTAGATTTGGAAGTCCGTAAGTAAATTTGATGCATTTTGGCGAAAGTTGAGAAATTGAAGGTTTGAAAGGTTGAGAGGTTTGACCAGGAGTTGACTTTGTTGATAACGGGTTCGGATTTTGATTATGGGAGTTGGTATAGCTCCATTGTATCATTTGGGACTTTCATGCAAAATTTGACGTCATTCTGGGTTGATTTGATATGATTCGGTGCAGGTTGTAGAAGTTGAAAGTTCATTAAGTTTGATTTGAGGTGCGATTCATAGTTTTGATGGTGTTTGATGTGATTTGAGGCCTCGAGCAGGTCCGCGTTATGTTATAGGACTTGTTTGGTATGTTCGAGCGGGGTCCTAGGGGCCCCGGGTGTGTTTCAGACGAGTTTCAGATCATTCCTATGTTTTGGGCAGGTCTAGTTATGGTGCTTCCCATCTGCGCATCTTACAGCGCAAGAGCGGGACCTCTTCTGCGTGCTTTGTGCCGCTTTTGCGATGTTGAGATCTGGGCGGAAGTTCCGCTTCAGTGGATAGAGGATTGCAGGTGCGGTTGGCGCATCTGCCGATTTTGGACCGCCGATGCAATAGGGTCCACTTTTGCGGTTCTTATGAGCGCTTCTGAGGTGTCGCAGGTGCGACCCCTTTTGCGTAGGTGTGCGGTCTTATCCGGTAAGTGGAAACCGTAGGTGCGGGTGCTGGCTCACAAAAGCGAGAGCGCAAGTGCGCATTTTTGGTCCGCAAGTGT